AATTCTGTTGGATTGATATATTATCACCTAAAATAAATCATATTTATTTTAAAATGCGCTTAAACGTTCCGTAATTGAAATTAACTCACGCTTTTAAACGTGCTTAATCATCCTAAGCCGTAACTGACAGAGCAATGTCTAAGTGTATTTAATCATCCTGTGATAGAATCGGACACCGAGATCTTAAATATGTTTAAATATCTAAATGACAATGACAAAATAATTTACAATATATTTAAATTAATTATATTTAATTGAAAATAATAGCATGATTTCAAACGTAACACAATGTTTTAACTTTGTGATTTAAATATGCTTAAACACGTTCTAATTAGAATTAGCAGCATATTTTTAATCATAATTGAAATTCAGTTCGATTTTAAATTCGTTTTAAGTATGCCAACATATAATTTAAATTAAATGTATTTAAGCAGTCTAATTGAAGTTAACATTCGAACTATGCATCCTATTTTTACGACTAAATATAATCGAAGAAAAATAATGTGATTTTTAAATAAATCTAAACAGGTAATTTGGAATATATTTAAATGAAATATGAAACTTATTAAGTAAATGTATTTAAGCACCGTTTAACTGAAATAATCTTCATTAATTTAAATATATTTAACTACGCAGTTGACACTAATACATTAACATGATTTTATTACACATCATCGTTACAGTGGAACTAAGAAAGTGATTTAAATGCATTTAAGCTATTAATTGGAATTACTGGAGTGATTTAAACGTGTTTAACTGTCAAATCGAATCTGGCAAAGTGATTTAAATACGTTTAAGCATTTAAATGAAATTAGTAAAGTAATTTAAACGTGTTTAAACATCAAATCGAAACTGGCAAAGTGATTCAACTGCATTTAAGATAGTTGAAAGTAATAGCACGATTTAAATATGTTTAACTGTCAAACTGAAACCGACTAAATAATTTAAATGCGTTTAAATACGTAATCGAGACGAACAACGTAATTTAAATACCTTTAAAAAATTATTCTAAAACTAAAATAAACATTATATAATTTAAAATTTAAATTTAAAAAAAAAAATTTAACGAAGTTATTAAGGCGTGATTTTAAATTTATTTTAAATATCCTCTAACTGAAAGTGGCATGATATTAAATTAATAAATAAGAGTCAGAGGAAGGCACAACCGGCGCATTAATATTAATTAATTTAATTAATATGTTATGCATTAAACAGCATTTTTTAAAATAAAAATAATAATAACTTAGATTTTAAAACTGGGATACAATAAACAATAATATCATTCTCAATAAAATTATTTAGAGTTAATGTTATTAGGGACATTTGGAGCGCACGCCCAATTGAACAGAATTGAAAAAAAATGTCGTAGAAGTAATCAATCAAAATTATTTTTATTTAATAAAAAAATACTTTAAAATATATTTTATTAAGGTAATAAATATTAATTTAATTATATTATATTTTGGCATAGGAATATGATCTATTATAATAAAGATAATTACATAATGTAAATAAATTTAAGCGGCAGGTTTTTTTTATTATTTTTTTATTATTATTTTTTTAAATATTCTTTCTTATCTTTAATATTATAAATTTCGTTAAGTAGCATTTATGTAATAAATGTAATTTTAATTATATTTAATAAACAGATATATGACCGATTTCGTTACCGTTTCAAATGTCTCATATCAGTTAAATTATGGCAAATTTAATAGTTTTCATATCAGAAATTCATCTTTTTATACCTTTTTTTAAATGATAAGAAATTATAAAAATTCGAAATATCCTTATAATTTGTTTAATTTTTATAAATAATATTTAAATAATCAATTAAGCTCTGTTCTTCCGTTTTGTTTCTAGTTTATTTCTATTGTTAGAAATATACAGCTTGAAGTATATTTAAGTCAGTTAACCGAGTTGTTTGTAAGTAGCATGCTAGCTAACAGCATTTTAAATCTACAACGGTTAATCGATTTTTGGGCCTCCCTGTATATATATATATTTATATATATAGAGAGAGGGCCGGATAGACAAGGTTAAGGCCTTCCTGTGTGAGGGAGCCCGGGATCGAATTCTGACGATCATAAATTCCGGGAATATTCCGGGAGTGGTCTGACCCGCATTTTTCGGGCCTAGTTCTCATCACCCGCCTACCCGTTTATGGACCCAATTAAAAAACCCTCTTAGGGCCTACAAAGAGAAAAACAAAAATTTTTAAACTGTTGTCCGTGTTTAATCATTAGCATTAATTTTTGGCTACAAAAATTTATTTATTTTCTAATAATTACAAGATTTTCAAGCCTCCGATGATAATAATTCGATTACTTTTATACAAAGAAAATTAAATAAAAAAAGAAAATATTCTAGAGAAATAATTATATTATATTTCTTATATTAAATAAACTTCATTATAAATTAAATTCTTACATTTTTATTCACACAAGTTTAAATATTTTCCTTTCTGAAAGCATCAAATTACATTTGGAAACTCTCTCGACACTCCAAACGAACCTAATTAGGATTTAAACTTTTGAAAATTATTATTATTATTTTTTTTTTTTAAATTGTTATATACGAAACGACATGAATTAATATAATTTTCTTGTAAGTAGTATGCTTTTAAATATAAATATTCTTACTTTGCTGGGCGGAAAAATTAACAATGTTTCATTCGAAAGTAATCAAAAGGTTATTATGCTTCGGCGGTTTTGTAATATAGTGTTAAAAGACTCGAACAAACGTAGAAGTTTGTTCTTTAAATATGTGTTATAAATGGAAGAAAAAGAAAAGTTACATAGTTGTGATTCAATCACAATTCGTTTTAAAACAGGATGTCACCTACGGCAAGCTGACAAATGCCAAGGAAGACAGGAAATTTTATGAAGCTGCTAGAAAATTGCTTCATTGGCACCGAGTAAACCATAAATGACGTTTTAATGAAGACATTTTCCAAACGAAATTTTACCAATTTTAAAATATTATTTTACAAAATTTATTGCAAATTACTAAAAATTCTTTGCTTGTGTGTATAGGATGACATAGGTTTTTGAAGCAGTGAAAAATGAATAAAAACCTTGTCTTATATACAAGTAAATANATAATAATAATAATAATAATAATAATAAAGATTTAATTAAATTCATTGTTTTTCTTTAGTGTCTAATTGAACCTAATATGATTAAATATAAGAATCGAACCTAACCCGAGTTAATTTGCATTGTATTATTTATAAGGTGGTCGTATGAATTTTGAAAGGTTATAGATCAAGTTAATATCGTGTTACGATGTACGAGAGGGGTGTTCGCGTTGTAAACAGTTAAGATTTCTTTGCGAATATGTACTCAGGACATTTTAGCAGTTTCGACTCTCTTCCAGGTCAGTCGGAAGCGATCTGTGGGAGAAGAGATCGATACTCCGTGTTAGCAGGTTCTGTTGTTTCTGTTATAGAAAGAGACAAGTTTTATCACGCCAGGAAGTAATTATATAATTAAGATGACGTCATCTATTCATCATATACAAAATTAGTTTCCTATATTCGATGATAAACGAGGCAATTCTCTCAATAATAATCTTCGGCACAGCCTAAAAAACCCCGATTCGATCGTTTATTAACCTTTTTTTTTTATAATTGGAGCCGTGTATGGGCTTAACTTACACAGAGACTTTTGTGTCGTGTATCATTTATCTTATATGTTGGCTGCAGCACTTTTTGAAATTCTCCATCTCCAGAAACTAAATATTAATGATGTGCCTGGTAGGAAAAATATTGTTTGTTTCGGCTAGATGAAAGAATGTGAGTTGCATGTTTAACTGAATACACTGTGTATAAATACAATATAAAGGATGGCATGCTTATAAAATACTGATATAACTTACAATGAAATCTATTGCCTCGAAGGTATATATTGAGGAATCACCCGCAAGCATTTCTATCCGCATACATCTTTGATAACGTGTTCAATTCTCTGATAGTTTGACATAAATTCAAAATATTTCTGATATAAAATTTAAATACAGCGGCACCAAACCATATTTAAGTATTTTCTCTACTGGAAATACTTTAATGAAGATCCTGAGGTGACGTATGCAATTCTCTACTGGAGAAAACTGCATTGTATGTCTTGCAATTGTAAATTCGATATCTTTTTTAAGGATATAAGAATCTAATCATTTAATTTTCTGTATATATTATAACAAAGACTCACTGAGTAGATCCTATTTCTACAGCATTTATTCTCTATTTACGCTCAGCATCCTTTTGTCTTACAGCTGTCTGATTCGGAATTGTCTTTATCAATCCCGAAAGTCAAAGTAGTAAACATGTAATCATTCTCTTTCTTCACGACACTCTTCCACTTTCTTCCTGTGAACTATTCCTTCAGTGCATTAGATTTATGTGGTCTTTCCTCAACGCTTTTCCTGTTCTTCCTTCCTTCAGTAGTGTCTATTACAACTGGATATTTCTTATAAATACCGTGTTGGTGGAAGGATTATTATATGATGAAGTGTCCCTGAGGGATCTCTCCTCGACTCGAGTCCTATCATAAATTATATATCTATAAATTAGCTTTGCAAAAGAGTATACACTCCTACGTAATCCTTCAACTGTACGATATTAAGTGAAGAGCTCTTTGCTCCTGATGCAACTACTCAACGCGTATGCTTCAAGCATAATCCGCACTCCAGAACAACCCGAGCCAATAATAAATATTGCTATAAGCTGCAAATTTTCGAAATTTATTCATTATAAAGGCTAAGAATCGATGACGTAACACGATCGTTTTGATGTTCATCGTATGAATGAACAGTAATATCTATTTTTAAACCGTTTCAACGATTTAGTAGAAGATCGATATTAAATATTAATCCGGAGAAAAATCTATACCTAAAGAATTTCGTTGCAAAAATCCGTTTCCTAGTTGTGTAAAAATATAAAGAAGAAAAAAAATATATATATATATATATAAGGAATTTTCAGAAAGAAGTTTCAAAAAACTTACAGCTTCTTCTTTGGTCAATGCAGTTTCTGGTATTTGATCTTCTAAACTTGTCAATAAAACGTCCTAGATATAAGCAAAAAGAATAAATTTCAAATCCAAGAAAATACCCTGATGTTACCAAAATAACAATTCACTTAAAATTCCACTAAACACAATTAATTCATAAACACAATTAACATCGGATCTAAATCATGATTACCGTTACATATTTAATTATTTTTCGGGACAAAATTTTTTTCCGCGCAAACTGTAACACCATTAAAATTAATTTTAATTTTTAATTATTTACTTTATCTTTAATCATAAATTTAAATTTATTTTGTCGTGTAAGTGATGACCGTTGGGCCCGGGGGTACCATAATTCTCTTTCAAATCCCTCTAAACCCAAATTAGTAATGTGGAATTTAGTAGGATCCGGTGATAGAAATTGAATTTTTCTGGGTTCTCCGGCTTCAATGGATTGTTTTTTTTTTTAAAGATAATAAATAAAATTTTGATGCCAAGACTTAAAAACTCTTGAGACTTTCAGTATTGTTGAGGTGACTTTACGTGAAAGTCCTCTTCTAGTCGCGGATTAAGTTGACAACCGTGGCTAATCCGCGGATTATCCTCTGGGATTTTTATTTTAAGAAGTTCAAGATGGAATTTTTTTTATACCTGATGCATTCTTTTATTTCAAATTGTCTTCTTTTACTTGAATATTCTTTCAGAATTTAAATGGCCTCCTGCCAGAATATATCAAATAGAAACAAAATCGGAACTGCCAAAAAGTTTCTATTAATAAATTTCAAATAAAAATGAATTATTTGTTTCACAAAATCTTTAAACTTGACTTTTACGAATAATTTTTAGCTTACGATTCACATTACTTTGTTGGTGATGATGATTGAGAAGATATCTGAAAGTTCTCAATGGCATCTTCAACGTGCCAATAACTTTTTCTTAAAAAATCGTATTTTTTAAGGTACAAAACTCTGAATTAGTGATGATGCAGCTCTTCAAAACATATTTAGAAGCCTTTCACTAGAATATGACAGCTATAAATCCCTGTAACTGGATCACATCTTCAACCATAAAAGTCCCTGGAAGAGCGTAAAAAAAAACTGCATATCAAGTACCATAAAAAAGATTAGAAGCAATCTTGCATGACAGGTGCCATTTTTATCGTGTTAATAAGACATTTTCGTTATAGAAAAGCATAAAAATTCGAAATTCTGTCCGGATTAAGATAATGAATAGTTATAATCATTAGTGTTCTTACTGATGACCATACCAAGGCTCTGTGGTGGTATTGGGATAAACATGAGAAATTCTGCACTGAAAATGGATACTTTTGAGGGCATTTAGGTGGTGATATTTTACTGGAAAAACTTATCAAAGAACTATATCGAAGATGTAATGACCCATTTATAACTCGAGTCACATATGACTCACCAGAATAACTAACTTTAAATGGAGTGACGAAGTGGAAGAAGATGCTTCGAGGAAAATAACAGCAAAATGCATTCTTTTAAGTGTTTTCGAAGAAATTCATTTATCAAAACACTACTAAAAACTTTAAAAAATCCTCCAAACGTCAGAAAATCTCGAAAAAAACAGCGCATTTAAGAAAAAAATCCGGAACAGAAATGCGCCATTCTTTAAAGGTAAATCCTAAATATGTTTTATTTTTTATTTATTTATTTACTTTTTTATAGCTTATCGTGGGAGGATGATAAATTCATCATGGGTACCGTAAAGGAAAGCAAATCCATAAATCTCACTGTAGACTATATTCGAAATAAGTCACGAAGGAGGATAAACAGACTTTTGCCTTTATCAATTCTATGAAAGATGAAATAGAAGGGGTAAAAATACGATGCGAATGACCATGCAGACAACTAGATATATCGAACACATTAACCAAGCTTCTTCCATTCCCGACTGCAGCAAAATCGATAGCAGGTACTGTCTCCTGCCCTTAGGCGGCCCCTCTCTTATCCTGTCTCCTATTCTCTTGTGACTTGTTAATGTAGGGACTATTCATCATACGCTTACAACTTTGGATACACCTCCCTTTTTCGCCCCTTTCTACAGAAAGTATGACCCCCACTCATTGCTTACAATTGCTCTTTCATCTGTCTCATTCTCTTATTTTTTCTTCTTTGAAAAACTTGCTGTTTCTTATAATTGAACTTGTTATCTTAACCAGACCCGCTGTTCCTTTCAGCTGCATCTTGGATAATTGTGAAGAAGAAGTACGCTCCGAGCTAAACCGTCATTTATCTGTTTAATAATTGAAAAGAATAAAAAGGCTGGTGATTAGCTTTACAAATGGCATCATCAGCATCCCTCTAAAATTATCGATACTGGAATTTTTTACGTGGTACCCCCAACTTTACGTGCCGCTCTCACAAGTATTTTCACTTCAACACTTGCTAATCTTTCGATTAATTATTGCTTGTTACCTTCCTCCTCTATTGAAAATGATAATACAATGAATCAGTATCGGTATCGAGCGTTAACGATCGTTTTAATTCTACAAAAACGATAAAACTAATCAGTATCGATGGCACAATGAAGGCGTCACTCGAGAGAGGGAAAAAAGGGAAAAAAAGAAAATCTTTAAAGGGAATCACTCCACATTATTAAACATAGTTCAACATCCTTTTGGGCTTAATAATTACTGACACGTTACATCAGCATCTGACTCCGGAGCCATGATAGATGGATCTATATATCACCACTCTTATATCATCGATGTCATCAGGAAATGTTAACACAGTGTCAAGAGTCCCATACATTAACAAGACGGTAAATCACCATACAACTATTAAAACAGGTGAAGAAAGTTGAGAGGACGTAGCGAAATATATAAAGGAGAAATATCTTAAAGTTTATCCCGTCGGCAGCAATATGATCGATACTACATCAATACTGCACACAGCCAAGCATTTCTCAGATTCTCTACCAAAAAATGGGACTGTAATGTTTTTACAATACGTTCGCTGATAAAGGGAGACATTTATGTCCTACACCACCGTTTAAACAATAGAAGAACTATAATTATAACACGAAAACCAGTGTATTCGTAAAGGGAGCGAGTTGTAAGTTAGAACAATCTGCTCCCATTTTTATTTGTCAAGTATTATTTTAGTGTTTTCTTACAGTTCTGCTTTGTGTACGTTTCCAGACATTCAGGTGTTGATTTAAGGCATTTAAGACCATTTTTTAAGATCTTACAGCGGCTCCGGTGTTTCGAGACAGGTCAGATTTATCCCCTCTCAAATTTTACTCGATATTTTTAACGGATTTACAGATTAGAACCATGAAAGATTCAAGCAGCCAGGAAGAAATCAATGAATGAGTGGGGGGATGTCTACACACTCTCACACACACACAGCCACCGAGTTACTGTACCGTAATGTAATAGCCCCAAAGGAATAAAGTCAACGGGAACACGTCCTATACTCTTGTCCTGAGTGTAAATTCAATTATCCATGCCACCAAATCATCCATTCTTCTATATCATTGCATCCCATTGAGGATTATGCGATTGGGTATCAAACACATTTAGATTAACCGAGATTTATGGATTGAGGATTCGAAAAAAAATGAGTTACACGAAGGTATGTTACTTCTTCGGCATCGTTTCTGCATAGAAGATCGATTATTTCGAGTACCCAACTGAAAACTCTAATAAAAATTCTTTTTTTTTCAAACTTTAAATTCCTCCGAATCCATAAAAATTTAATTCCATTCCTCTAGACTAAATTATGAATAATTACAACACGATATTTTCTGTAACGAGGATGGGAATTAATTATTTTCGAAAGTTATTGATAAAAGAAAAGTTTTGTTAGATGTACAGTACTTACTATCTTATGGTGCAGTTGTGTGAGTTCCTTTTCTGTGACCTTCCTGTGACTTTGCTCTTGGTGTCTCCTCTTCAATTCATTTATTTTGTAAGCAATAAACATGCCAGGGAAGGCCAATGTCATCAATGACGACTTGAGCAAAGCGGGCATCTCTCACACCAGCCTACAGGCATCCCGTCCTCCCTTCTGCTCCAAACACGAAGTTTAAATGGGACACGTGACGTGATCGATACAGTGACGTTTGTGTGCGGGCATCTGCATGGAGCATGTCCGAAAGCTTATCGTTTTGCTGTCACTAGAGATTTTCCACGCTTAAGCTTAATTTCCATTGGGATGGAGCCTATTTGTAGTTTTCACAACCAACTGCTTGCTTGTTACTTTGTCTTTTGCTCCTACCCGCTCTTAATTATGGTCTAGTGTTCTTGGACGGTAGAAAAAATTCATGTTTTGCACCTGCATGAAGTAAGCGTGCCGCTTTTTATGCTTACTTGCAGCTAACAAAACTTCATTTTTTAAGTTGGAATTCTTCCTCTTTTCGTGCAAATTTTAAACGAGAAAAAAATTAACGCTCGATTACTCCTGTCCGTCCGTGTGTCTGCATGTTTTCAACGAGTAAAAACGCAAATAAAATGAGAATAATCCCTAAAATAACCCTTCAGTAATGGAATTTGTGGTCTGTATGGACCGCCCATTGAGAGAAGCAAATTACTACTCGTCAGCTTTACTGATTGGAGAGTCAGTTAGGTCTTTGAAATAACTCCAAACATCATTCGCCAACTCGAACACAAAAGGAAAAATTAATAAATTCTCCAATTATTTCAATCAGAACAACTGAAATTTTTGGCTTAAGAATAAAATTATAAAATANAAAATACATAAAAACCTGACTTTAGAATATTTTTCCCTATAGCTAAATTGAATTATTACATAAATAATTTATTAAACGTAATTAAAATATACGTACATTAAGTTAAAATATTTTTCCAACCGCTTTAAACGTAATATAATTGAAGCTAATTAAGTCATTTCAGCTTATTTAAATCGAGAATTAATCGTATTTAATTTTAAACGTGTTTAAATGCTTCGTAATTGAAATTAACATCGTGATTTTAAACATAATCAATGTGTGATTGAAATCGACAGCGTGATTTTAAATATGTTTAAGCATCTAAACACGTTGATTTAAAATATATTCTATTTAATTATACTTAATTGTAATTAACGGCGTGATTTTAAATAAAAACATGAATGTAACAATGTGACCAAACACGCTTAATTAAATATGAGCTACGGTAATTCACATTAACAGCATATACTTTTAAGCATAACTAAAATTCTGTTGGATTGATATATTATCACCTAAAATAAATCATATTTATTTTAAAATGCGCTTAAACGTTCCGTAATTGAAATTAACTCACGCTTTTAAACGTGCTTAATCATCCTGAGCCGTAACTGACAGAGCAATGTCTAAGTGTATTTAATCATCCTGTGATAGAATCGGACACCGAGATCTTAAATATGTTTAAATATCTAAATGACAATGACAAAATAATTTACAATATATTTAAATTAATTATATTTAATTGAAAATAATAGCATGATTTCAAACGTAACACAATGTTTTAACTTTGTGATTTAAATATGCTTAAACACGTTCTAATTAGAATTAGCAGCATATTTTTAATCATAATTGAAATTCAGTTCGATTTTAAATTCGTTTTAAGTATGCCAACATATAATTTAAATTAAATGTATTTAAGCAGTCTAATTGAAGTTAACATTCGAACTATGCATCCTATTTTTACGACTAAATATAATCGAAGAAAAATAATGTGATTTTTAAATAAATCTAAACAGGTAATTTGGAATATATTTAAATGAAATATGAAACTTATTAAGTAAATGTATTTAAGCACCGTTTAACTGAAATAATCTTCATTAATTTAAATATATTTAACTACGCAGTTGACACTAATACATTAACATGATTTTATTACACATCATCGTTACAGTGGAACTAAGAAAGTGATTTAAATGCATTTAAGCTATTAATTGGAATTACTGGAGTGATTTAAACGTGTTTAACTGTCAAATCGAATCTGGCAAAGTGATTTAAATACGTTTAAGCATTTAAATGAAATTAGTAAAGTAATTTAAACGTGTTTAAACATCAAATCGAAACTGGCAAAGTGATTCAACTGCATTTAAGATAGTTGAAAGTAATAGCACGATTTAAATATGTTTAACTGTCAAACTGAAACCGACTAAATAATTTAAATGCGTTTAAATACGTAATCGAGACGAACAACGTAATTTAAATACCTTTAAAAAATTATTCTAAAACTAAAATAAACATTATATAATTTAAAATTTAAATTTAAAAAAAAAATTTAACGAAGTTATTAAGGCGTGATTTTAAATTTATTTTAAATATCCTCTAACTGAAAGTGGCATGATATTAAATTAATAAATAAGAGTCAGAGGAAGGCACAACCGGCGCATTAATATTAATTAATTTAATTAATATGTTATGCATTAAACAGCATTTTTTAAAATAAAAATAATAATAACTTAGATTTTAAAACTGGGATACAATAAACAATAATATCATTCTCAATAAAATTATTTAGAGTTAATGTTATTAGGGACATTTGGAGCGCACGCCCAATTGAACAGAATTGAAAAAAAATGTCGTAGAAGTAATCAATCAAAATTATTTTTATTTAATAAAAAAATACTTTAAAATATATTTTATTAAGGTAATAAATATTAATTTAATTATATTATATTTTGGCATAGGAATATGATCTATTATAATAAAGATAATTACATAATGTAAATAAATTTAAGCGGCAGGTTTTTTTTATTATTTTTTTATTATTATTTTTTTAAATATTCTTTCTTATCTTTAATATTATAAATTTCGTTAAGTAGCATTTATGTAATAAATGTAATTTTAATTATATTTAATAAACAGATATATGACCGATTTCGTTACCGTTTCAAATGTCTCATATCAGTTAAATTATGGCAAATTTAATAGTTTTCATATCAGAAATTCATCTTTTTATACCTTTTTTTAAATGATAAGAAATTATAAAAATTCGAAATATCCTTATAATTTGTTTAATTTTTATAAATAATATTTAAATAATCAATTAAGCTCTGTTCTTCCGTTTTGTTTCTAGTTTATTTCTATTGNTGGATTGTTTTTTTTTTTAAAGATAATAAATAAAATTTTGATGCCAAGACTTAAAAACTCTTGAGACTTTCAGTATTGTTGAGGTGACTTTACGTGAAAGTCCTCTTCTAGTCGCGGATTAAGTTGACAACCGTGGCTAATCCGCGGATTATCCTCTGGGATTTTTATTTTAAGAAGTTCAAGATGGAATTTTTTTTATACCTGATGCATTCTTTTATTTCAAATTGTCTTCTTTTACTTGAATATTCTTTCAGAATTTAAATGGCCTCCTGCCAGAATATATCAAATAGAAACAAAATCGGAACTGCCAAAAAGTTTCTATTAATAAATTTCAAATAAAAATGAATTATTTGTTTCACAAAATCTTTAAACTTGACTTTTACGAATAATTTTTAGCTTACGATTCACATTACTTTGTTGGTGATGATGATTGAGAAGATATCTGAAAGTTCTCAATGGCATCTTCAACGTGCCAATAACTTTTTCTTAAAAAATCGTATTTTTTAAGGTACAAAACTCTGAATTAGTGATGATGCAGCTCTTCAAAACATATTTAGAAGCCTTTCACTAGAATATGACAGCTATAAATCCCTGTAACTGGATCACATCTTCAACCATAAAAGTCCCTGGAAGAGCGTAAAAAAAAACTGCATATCAAGTACCATAAAAAAGATTAGAAGCAATCTTGCATGACAGGTGCCATTTTTATCGTGTTAATAAGACATTTTCGTTATAGAAAAGCATAAAAATTCGAAATTCTGTCCGGATTAAGATAATGAATAGTTATAATAATTAGTGTTCTTACTGATGACCATACCAAGGCTCTGTGGTGGTATTGGGATAAACATGAGAAATTCTGCACTGAAAATGGATACTTTTGAGGGCATTTAGGTGGTGATATTTTACTGGAAAAACTTATCAAAGAACTATATCGAAGATGTAATGACCCATTTATAACTCGAGTCACATATGACTCACCAGAATAACTAACTTTAAATGGAGTGACGAAGTGGAAGAAGATGCTTCGAGGAAAATAACAGCAAAATGCATTCTTTTAAGTGTTTTCGAAGAAATTCATTTATCAAAACACTACTAAAAACTTTAAAAAATCCTCCAAACGTCAGAAAATCTCGAAACAAACAGCGCATTTAAGAAAAAAATCCGGAACAGAAATGCGCCATTCTTTAAAGGTAAATCCTAAATATGTTTTATTTTTTATTTATTTATTTACTTTTTTATAGCTTATCGTGGGAGGATGATAAATTCATCATGGGTACCGTAAAGGAAAGCAAATCCATAAATCTCACTGTAGACTATATTCGAAATAAGTCACGAAGGAGGATAAACAGACTTTTGCCTTTATCAATTCTATGAAAGATGAAATAGAAGGGGTAAAAATACGATGCGAATGACCATGCAGACAACTAGATATATCGAACACATTAACCAAGCTTCTTCCATTCCCGACTGCAGCAAAATCGATAGCAGGTACTGTCTCCTGCCCTTAGGCGGCCCCTCTCTTATCCTGTCTCCTATTCTCTTGTGACTTGTTAATGTAGGGACTATTCATCATACGCTTACAACTTTGGATACACCTCCCTTTTTCGCCCCTTTCTACAGAAAGTATGACCCCCACTCATTGCTTACAATTGCTCTTTCATCTGTCTCATTCTCTTATTTTTTCTTCTTTGAAAAACTTGCTGTTTCTTATAATTGAACTTGTTATCTTAACCAGACCCGCTGTTCCTTTCAGCTGCATCTTGGATAATTGTGAAGAAGAAGTACGCTCCGAGCTAAACCGTCATTTATCTGTTTAATAATTGAAAAGAATAAAAAGGCTGGTGATTAACTTTACAAATGGCATCATCAGCATCCCTCTAAAATTATCGATACTGGAATTTTTTACGTGGTACCCCCAACTTTACGTGCCGCTCTCACAAGTATTTTCACTTCAACACTTGCTAATCTTTCGATTAATTATTGCTTGTTACCTTCCTC